TCACAATATAAATTATTTATCATAAATATAAAATATAATTTATATATTTAAAAATATCTATTTATATAAACTTTAAATATAATTTATATATATTTAAATATAGTATTAATTTGTACTTATAATTTATTATAAATTTTAGTTAAATATAATAAACATTTAACATACATAGGCTAAAGTATTAGTTTATAATATATATCTATAATAATATGAAAATAATCATATTATTTATGAACAATAAATAAATAAATAAAAATATAAATAGAATTACATCTTAGGTCTTACAAATAAAAATATTATGAAATATTTTGATATTATTTATCTTAAAAAATAAATATTCAATTCCATTAAATATTAATCATATTTAGCAACCAATATTTAATTATAATAATTAAGTAATATATAACATATCTTATTAAAATTACTCAGAATAATTATATCAAATAAATCATAAAATATTAATAACAATAGAATAAAAAAAAATAGGTACATTTTCAGAAACACTGAAAATAACAGTTTTCTATTTTCAAAATTTAGCCTCTTTTTTTTTTGAAAATATTTTCTTTAAAAATATTTTCTAATATTAAAACTAAGCACATTTTCATATGTATTTTCTATTTTCTTTAAAAATAAAAACAAAACAATAAAACTAAACAAGCTCTAACTTATTCATTTTTTTATTAGAGTTTGCTCCTAGTAATAAAGTCCCCCATAACAAAATCTCACAAACCTCTTATCCATTTATTTTACGATTGAACAGTAAAAATCAAAATTTACTTATTTTATAATAATTAAAACATATTTAAACATTTAATATATTTATATACTTTGTCACGCTAACATATGTCATCTTGATTATTGCTCACTTTAAAGACATAAATCTTTAATTATTTGGTTCCAAGTTGAAAATTAATCTTATAATTATACTCAGAAGATATTGAATTAAATATATTTTTAGCCAATAATTTTTTATTTTTTATTTTTATTTTTAGTACTTGAATAATTATTTTATTAGTTTTAGTCATTTAACTTTTACCAATTTTCAATTTTAGTCTTGGAATTTTTTCTTCCTAACATTTTTGATTCTCAACGTCAAGATTCTTTGTTCATGAAAGAAAACTTGAAAAAATAAAGTAAAATAAAATTTATTCTTGAAAGTAAAAGTAAAAATTAATAAAAGTTCAAAAGTTAAAACCATATTTAATCCAAAAATACTTTTATCAAATACTAAAAAATATTGTCGATATCAAAGAAATTTAACATTTTATTTTATGATGGTAATAATGAAATAATTTAAAATTGTTTTGCAATAAAACATATTTAATAAACCATGTAGTCATGTAATTTCAAAAACAACAGAAATTAATTTTTTTTTTCATTTTACAATACTAAAAATATATTTAACTTTCAAGTTTCTCGCTCCTAATCCAATCATGATAACTTTGTTATGTGCATCTTTCTTGAATAATTTATATGGTTGTATGATTAGTGGACCTAATCTACAAGCTAATATTTAGTGAGACAAGATCCCTAGCTCTTGGTTGGATGATTAGTGGAAGATAAACATATTATGCGAAAACTACAAGGCTAACTATACCTAGTCTTCAACGGATTTGGAGTAAGGGAATATAAGGTATACCGTATGGTGCCGAACAGGACGAGCAATCCGAATGCTTTGCGTACCCGAACCCGCCGAGTACCTGACACCGTCGACCCCACACGAACGTACGGAACTTGTCGGTACGGTCGGCCAAGGCCAACGTCATTACCAGACTTAATTACAAGTAATTAATTAGCATAAACTTAGGATCAGTCCCCTAATTTCCCGGGGCCCAACCCATAATCACGGCCCAACACGAACACCTATAAATAGAACTCCTGAGAGGTACGCAACTACTTTTGACCTACCGCATTTATTACGCCGAGTACTTACTTGAGCGTTGGAGTGTCTTTGCAGGCACCCCCCCCTCTCGCTTCGGACCGCCCGGATTGAACGAGAAGACCGAGACCCAAGACCCGACCTACTACAACAAGGATAATTGGAGTGTGTATCCTAACACAGGAACATTTGGCGCCCACCGTGGGGCCGAAGAGACGTTTTCAGCCCCTTTCTTAACTCTACGACTGAGACCGAGATATGGTAGTGACCCGCAAAGGACAATCAACAACGACCCAACCGACTCAACATTAATACCGAAGCCAATCCCGCCATGACTAACCAAGAGCGTTACCCGTACGGAATGCCCCAAACTCAACCGGAACCCGTGATACAGCAGGTCCAGCCGAATACTGACCAAACCCAACCAAATTTACAAGACGACCTCCGCGCGTTGCGGGAAGAAATGGCCACCATACGCAGGCAAAGAGAAGCCGACGCCCGGGAGCTAGCCGAGTTACGGCGGCAGAATGCCGAACTCCGGAACCTGAACCAAACTTGTGTGCCGTCCACCCCCACAGCCGTGGAAGAATCTGCCTATCACGCCCCGACTGAGCCGGTAACTCGAACGCCGAGCACCTCATTGATAGCCAACAGGGCCGAAACCACCGTCCATTCCCTAAGACATCCCTTTTCACGGAGAATAATGGAAACAACCCTCATGGATCATTGGAAAAACCTCCCAATTGAGAAATATGACGGAACTTCCGACCCCGACGAACACCTAAATGTTTTCCTGACGCAGGCAACTCTCTCCACCCAAGACGACTCGGCCCTGTGCCGAATATTTCCCACCTCACTGAAAGGAAGAGCTCTAAACTGGTTCACCAGGTTGCCGAACTCTTCCATCGACTCGTTTGGCGAGTTGTCATCCCAGTTCACTTTGCAATTTGCGACGAGCAAGCCGTACAGGACGACCTCGTTGGCTTTAGCGGGAGTGCGTCAGGAGAAGAAAGAGAGTCTGAGATGTTTCATGGACCGGTTCAACAGGATTGCCATGGAGATCGGTGATCTCAACCCAGCCGTGGCGCTGGACCGGTTGAGCACTGCCCTCAGGCCGGGACCATTCGTCAATAGCTTATGCAAAAAGCCACCTGTGGACATGAATGATCTCCGACGCCGAGCTGAAAAATACATGCAAATGGAAGAGTTGGCCGAAACAAGAAATCAAGCTAGAGCCGAGGAGAATTACAACCGGAAGGAATCTAGCCGGGAACCAACAAAAAAGATCAATGCCGACCCCTCAAATTCCCGCCCCCCGAGAGGACCTCGTTACACAACGTACACTCCCCTCAATGCTAGCAGGGCTAAGGTATTGGAGCAAGCCCTCTCGTCAGAAATCTTGATAATTCCGAAAAGAGCGAACACGCCCCCAAGGGCGGACAAGGCGAAAGCATGCCGATTCCACCAAAACCGGGGGCACTTGACGGAAGAATGCTCGGCGCTAAAGGACAAGCTTGAGGACCTTATCAAGCAAGGGCACCTGAAGAACTTTGTCTCACCGCAAGACCACCGACCAAGAGGGAGAGATGAAGAATACAGTCGGCGAACGTCACCACCAAGGGATCGACGTCACAGGTCCCGTTCGGCCGAAAGGAAGGACCATTCACGAAATTCAAGAGAAGACAACACTCGGCCGAGAAAGATAATAAACACGATCGCCGGGGGTTTCGCCGGAGGAGGCTCCACCTCTTCGGCTAGAAAGCGGCACCTCCGGGCAGTCCGAGATGTAAATACCGTGAACCAACAGAAAGCACCGAGGATGCCGACCATCACATTCTCGGACCGAGACTTTCGTGGTGTCGACCCCATCCAAGACGACCCTATGGTGATTTCAGTCGAGATGCACAACTGCATCGTGAAGAAAACCCTGGTCGACCAAGGGAGCTCCGCCGACATCTTGTACTGGAATACTTTTGTGCAGCTAGGGATTCCCGAGGAGAGCTTAGAGCCATATCACGAACCCCTTGTCGGTTTTTCTGGCGGAAGAGTGATGACGAGAGGGTGCATCGACCTGTATACCCGTTTCGGGTTCGACCAAAAGACTTCCCGAGAGATCAAGATCCGATACATCGTGGTACACGCCAACACGTCGTACAATGTTCTACTGGGCGTTATTTTTCTAGGGTTTGTGGTAAGCAAAAATGGGGTTCATGTCGACCCCGAGAAAATCAAAGTCATCCAAGAATGGCGTATTCCTACTAATGTAAGTGAAGTTAGGAGCTTCCATGGTTTGGCAAGCTTTTATAGGAGATTTGTTCCTAACTTCTCTACATTAGCTTCACCTCTCAATGAGTTGGTGAA